ACTCCTCCAACTCTGCCAGTTCATTTCAGGATCCAGTTAAAAAAACAAACAAACAAACAAAAAAACACCCCTCCATGGACTTCTACAATATACCCTATGAGCCTTGGTTTTCTCTACTCCCCTCCCCACTCCCTCTGATCATTTATCAGTGGCTTCCTCTCTGTCCCTTTGTGTAACCTTGCCTCTCAGTATTATTAATCATTTGTATTACCATAATGCCAAAAATGGCAACATAGTGCCGGTATTAGTGTAGTTCCAGTATTACTGTAATGCCCAGTCATGGACTAGGGCCCCATTGTGCTAGGTCAGTGGTTCTCAACCTTTGGTACTGGTGACCCCTTTCACATAGCAAGCCTCTGAGTGCGACCTCCCATATAAATTAAAAACACTTGTTTATATATTTAACACCATTATAAATGCTGAAGGCAAAGCAGGGTTTGGGGTGGAGGCTGACAGCTCACGACCCCCCATGTAATAACCTTGCGACCCCCTGAGGGGTCCCAACCCCCAGTTTGAGAACCCCTGTGCTAGGCGCTGTATGAACATAGAACAAAAAGACCAAAGACCTTACTGATGCAAGATCCCTGTCTTCGGCAGCTTTTACCTTTCAGTGTTGTGTTGCTGTGAGTAGCGGGGCGACTATTCACCCGGCGGCGCCTCCTGCTGGTCGTCCAGGGAATTAGCTCACCAGCCTCCAGAGCGCCCTCTGCCAGCCGGTGTCTCACCTGCCGCTGGCCCCCATGTCCCTCCCGGACCACAGAGCCTTCTCTCAGGGTTCTGCCCCCTGGAGTACCCCACAGTCTCACTGGGTCTCCCCTCCCTGGGGAACCCCCAACCCCCCATCCCCACCTCACCTCAGTCTTTGGCTACTGCCAGTCCCCATCTAGCCCCCGCTCACTGGGGCAGACTGCAGTATAATTGCCACTCATCATCAGCAAGGAAGATTTGGACCTGCTGCCTCTGCCTACCCTTGGGCTGCCCCTCTGCAACCCCAGTACCTTCTCCGGCCTTTATCAAGGCCTGCAGCCTGGGGGTTTTCCAGGCCAGAGCTCCCCAGCGACTCTGGCCTTTCCCCCAGCCCTGCTCCACTCTAGGTACTCCGTTCAGCTCCCAAACAGTCAGGCCCATCTCTCTCAATAGCTAGAGAGAGACTCTGCCTGAGCTCCAGCCTAGCAGCCCCTTTATAGGACCAGCTGCAGCCTGATTGGGGCACGGCCCAGCTGCAGCTGCTTCCCCAATCAGCCCAGGCTTACTCATTCTCCACCACAGCCCTCTCGCAGGGCTGTTTTAAGCCCTTCAGGGCAGGAGTGGGGTTGCTGCCCCACTACACTGTGTCGTCTGCTTTTTAAAGAAACAACACACAGGCACAATGGAATCCAAACATACACGTTTACTAACCAAATACAATAGGTGTGACTTAGTAACTTACACAGAGTGCTGCTTTGGCAGGGTTCTGGTTACAGCAGAACTTCAGAGTTAAGAACACCTCGGGGATGGAGGTTGTTCGTAACACTGAAATGTTCGTAACTCTGAATAAAGCATTATGGTTGTTCTTTCAAAAGTTTACAACTGAACATTGATTTAATACAGCTTTGAAACTTTACTATGCAGAAGAAAAATGCTGCTTTTAAAAATGAAACAAGCACAGAAAGTTTCCTTACCTTGTCAAATCTTTTTTTTTTAAACTTTCCCTTTATTTTTTTTAGTAGTTCATGTTTAACACAGTACTATACTGTATTTGCTTTTTTCTGCTGCCTGATTGCGTACTTCCGGTTCCAAACAAGGTGAGTGGTTGTCTGGTCAGTTTGTAACTCTGGTGTTTGTAACTCTGAGGTTCTACTGTACTTCGGAAACGCAGAAGACAGTTAGCACCACCAGAGGGCTTACAAACTATTGAAAGGAATACTACCTCATTCTTACAGGCTATATCAGGGGATGGCAAATTACGGCCCACGGGCCAGATGCGGCCTGCGGGATTGCCAGCCCCATGGTGCAGCAGGGCTAAGGCAGGCTCTCTGCCTGCCCTGGTCCTGCACCGCTCCCGGAAGCAGCCGGCACCACGTCCCTGTGGCCTTTGGGGGGCGGGGGGGCGCAGAGGGCTCCGAGCACTGCCCTCACCTGCAGGCACCGCCTCCCGCAGCTCCCATTGGCCGGGAACGGGGAACCGCGGCCAATAGGAGCTTCGGAGGTGGTATCCACATGTGAGGGCAGCATGCGGCAGAGCCGTATGCCCCACCCCACCCCCAGGAGCCACTGCCGGACATGCTGGCCACTTCCGGGAGCAGCGCGGGGCCTGGGCAGGCAAGAAGCCTGCCTTAGCCCCACTGCATGCTGCTGCCACCCTGGAGCCGCTTGAGGTAAGCAGCACCAGGCCGGAGCCCGCACCCTGAACCCTTCCTTCACCCCACACCCCAACTCCTTGCCCTGAGCCCCCTAACCCTCTGCCGCACCCCTCCTGCACTCCTCCTGCACCCCAACCCCTTGCCCTGAGCCCCTTCCTGAACACCACACCCCCTCCCATACCCCGGACTCCCTCCTGCACCCCAACCCTACATTCACAGCCCTGCATACAATTTTCCCACCCAGATGTGGCCCTTGGGCCAAAAAGTTTGCCCACCCTTGGGCTATATGCATTCTCAGGAATTGATCTCTGCATTTGTAAAGCTCCTGTTACTGTAATATCTAAGCTTTGTTACATTATTAGAACTCAAAATGAGCTCTGTTATGATACATAGTTTCCAAATAGGGGACATTATTGTGTGATTACATCTAGAAAATTAGAGAGCTCTGCTCTCAGGAAGTGCTTGGTGGGAGAGGACCATCCCTGTGGAGAGAGGACACAGCCAGGATGTTACACTGTCTCAGCTCTCTCTCTTTTTATGCTTGAACACTGAACAAGTTCTCTCCAAAGTGAGACCAAACTCTTCCTCTCAGACCCTGTTTTAGCCACCAGTTACTGTCTTGCAGAAGAACCCCGCTGGGTCTTCTTCCACTCTGTCCCTTGGAGACTGTCTCAGGAAAAAAGTTTCGTTTTGGGGTGTGCCCTGAATGTGGTATAACTCAGGCTCATTCTGTGTCTCTTGGTAGTGGGGGTTGTAGCCTGGAGCCTTGTGTGCAGAAAACATTGATTTTGGCTGCTGAGAGTTTGAGCCAGGGTTCGGTCAGCTCTAATGTCCTGGAGGGATTGAAGCTGTCCCAGCAGGTAACAGAGAAGTTGTTTCCAAGATTGTGCCAGCCTAGGCCATTAAGGGCCTTAGAAACTAGATTTTCAGGGGTACTCAAGTGCCTACATTTTTTAAAAAGCACCTGAATAGGTTAGGCACTTAAATCCTAGGCCAGATTGAAATCAATGTGAGTTAGGCACTCAATCTGCTTAGACACATTTGAAAATCCCATTAGGCACCTATCTGCAACCTTAGGTGCCTAAATATCTTTGTAAATCTGGCCCTTAGTGATCAGGAGAAATATTCAGAACCAGAACTGGAACTAAATGGGAAGCCAGTGCAGGCTAACAAGCATATATGTTCCATGCTCTCTTTGACCTGTTCCACTAAGGCTATATCTACACTACATAGCCTTTAGTGCTGCTAAAAGTCGCACTGAGTAGCTGCTGTTCGTTGGCTCTCCTGACGACAAAAAACCTCCACCCCCAACGACCGGCGTTTGCTGCCAACAAAGCGCTGTTCACACTGGCGCTTGTCATCAGCAAAACGTTTGTCTTTCGAGGGAGAGGGGGGTTAACACCTCTGAAAGACAAAGGTTTTGTCGTTCAATTACCAGTGTAGACATAGCCTTGGGAGGCAGGCACTGTGGAATGGACAAGCTGCAGTTTTTCTTGGATTTCAGTTTCAATCCCAAGTACAGTCCACTGTTGTACTTCACTATAATAGAAGAAGGGGACTGTTGCCCCTCTCATTCATGCTAGTTTTACATTGGAGTAATTGCACTAAGTTCAATGAAGTTACTCCTGATTTATACCAGTGTGTGATCAGACCTATTCTCTTTAACAGACCAAAATATGGAAAGAAACTTTATATGAAGGAAATCAAACTACGTCTGAGCCGTAGGCATAAAGTTTTTTAAAAAAATTGTCTCTTGCAAATCCTCTTCTCTTTGCACTGATGCTGTGTGTAGCATAATTGAAATTGGCTTAGATAGAAAAAGAAAAAGAAAATCCAATATTGTTTATATCAGACCACTCAGAATAAATTAAGATAAAAACCATATAACTCCAAACTTTTGATTAAGAATATTTTCTTATGGATAGCATAAGATATATTTTTCCAAACACTGCTGGGAAAAGGGTTTGGGTACTATTCAAAATATCAACTCAAAACATGCCAAGAAAATGGACTGTATAATTGTTCTTACTGTTCCAGTGAATATTCAAAAACACATGCTGTAAATATACATTTCAAAATTCCATATGTACATTTTCTTGTTCTCTCTCAGCTCCATTTATTTCCTTTAAAAAAACGGGTTCATCGACTTTCATCAGTCTTCATTACTTTGCATATTCCAAAAGCTTAAGGGACTGCACACAAACTATGAGTCTTGGAAGTAGATAATTAAGCAGAAAGAATGCCAAGTGAGTACTTGTAGTGACTATAAATTGTTCTTTTCCTTTTTTTTTTTAATTTGCCCATACTTTGTGTTTTCTTGTTGTTCACATTAATTAGTTGTCTACATTGCTCATTAAACGGGCTGATTTTGTGTTGAGATTCCTTTCAGTCATAGATCTTTTTCCCTTCCTTGTTCACCATCCCATTTCCCAGTCTATTAATGGAATAGATCATGGTAGGCATTTTCAAAAAGCTTTTTTCTTCTCCTAGGCTTCAGTGGCTAATTAAAGAGGTCGTTGCTAAGAGATGATGGAAAGCATCATTGAGAGGCTCTGATGTGCTCTCTTTCTTACCTTCGGCATACAGGTTTTGGACCAGAGTTTGGGAGTAAATGGGATGGCAGCGTCTCAAAATACTTCTGTGACCAGACCTGTGACAATGGACAGAATAAAAGGGGACTGTGCCAGTCCTGGGCCACTAGGAGATACAGAGTCGAGCAGGACAGAACAGGACCCAGGGCAACAACTAGCCATGTTGGGGTTCTTTCAGATCTGTGATGTGGAGGGCAAAGGCTTCATCACTCGGCATGATATGCAGGTAAAGCAAAATTGGTGAAATGATGCAATACAATAGTTTTAACATATACAAACCAACACGTAAAATGGAAGCTCAAAGCAAATGTAAAATCTATAAAACTCAAAGCAATTGATTTTACTTTTCACTTAACCTGGTGTAACTCCACTGACTTCATTGGGGTTACTCCTGATTCACAGCAGAATCAGAAATGTATTTAGTTCATCTATTTTCTCTTACAGATTTTGTCAACAAATGCCATTCCAAGCCATTCACTCTGCTTTCTCCAACCAATAAAATGGTACAAAAACTCAGTCAGAACGTTTTTCTAAATACACTTATGCAAACAAAAGAATATTCTATGTTATTTTGATATGTTCACATTGTGCTTATTAAATCAACGTTTTGTGGAAATAATTTTAAAAGTTAAGGGGCCTAATTCTGATCCCATTGAAGTCATTGGCAAAATGCCATTGACTCCACCAAGAACAGGATCAGGCCCACGCTGTGGAAATGTTCAGAGGGATATTCTATCATGTATGTTGTGGAAAACAACAGCAACCCACTCTGCAGCTATTCATGTTTTACATGCAGAGTACTCCTTGGGTGTATTCATTAATTTTTTACTTCAGTGCTAATGGATTAAATAGAATTTAGGAGCTGTAGCAACGTAGTGACAGTGGAAATGTCTTAAATACAATTTTTCGGAGGATTTAATACCTTCACATACAAAACTGTTTAGTGTAATAGTAAAAAGTGCCCAACACATTGAGAATTACCCATTCTGAAAAAACAAACAAATCAATGCTCAGGTTATTGCCAGTTGCAGGTTTTCTGCTGTGTGTGTTTATGGATTTTTTTTCTTTTCTTTCAAATTACTTGTTTTACTGGCTGCACAGTTTAAAAAAAATGTTAGAGTAAACATTTACTGTTGGTTGTAGTGCTTACTACACTGTGTAGTCCCACTGAAGTAATTGAAATCACAGTAGTAAATGTGTTATTCCTGGTAGTAAATGTTTGAATGTTTGGACCATTAGGCATCTTCCTGGATCACCATTTTGTTTTATTTATGTATATGGATTAAAATGGTAAAAAGAAAATAGGATTTAATTTTTAATACAAGGGAACCCTCACATATTTTTGAACTTTAATGTCTGTTGCTACAAGGAGGGTAAAAGATATTTATTCCCATTCAGATCTGAGTTCTACACTTACAGAGGAAATGTAACTCTATTTGCTGTGAGCTTCTGAGAAGGGTGACAGAGAACTTGTTTGAGTTGCAAAGAGAAGAACGTAATTTTGTCTTTGATTTCACAACATGAAACAGCTCTTTCAGGAGCTGTTTAGCATGCATGATGAGCTTTATATATGAGTAAATCTCCAATTCATTTAAAAATAGATATAAAGGGCACTGGGACTCAGTGACATGAAACCACTTGAAATGGCATTGCATTATGCTTATTTTTGTTTCTAGCTAAGCGGATTAAAGATGAAATTACAAAAACATCCTTTTTGAAAACACCGGGCCTGATTCTCCTCTCACTAAACCATTATGTAAATCAGGAGTAATGTCACTGAAATCAATGCAGTTTCACTGGTGTAAAATTGAGGTGGGATCAAATCTCTCCCTTTGACTTTATATTCTACCTGAGGTCAAAAGTTGAGAATTAAAAAAATACAGAAGCCAGCAAATTGGAACGCTACAGTTTCTCCATTAGTGTTAGCTCAGATACTTGGAGCCTGCTTGTCACAGAGTGGCTGGCCCCTTTAAATGAGGCAGGTCCAGTTCCCCTGTGGTAGAACAAGTGCTCCCACCTTGGCCAGTTAGGAGGGAGGGGCAGCACATGGATCTGGGGGAAAATGGTCTCCAGGGAGAAAGTCCAGGGAGCTGGTGCTCAGTTAAAAGAGCATAGGAGAATCCTGCAGTTGGCTCTGAAGCAGGAAGGACTGAGAGAGGCAAAGGGAAAATCCCCTGGGAGCTCTAGCCTAGGGTGGGCTGAGGAACTGTTTTCATGGGTTGGGGTTTTTAAACCTATGTTTGTAAAATAAAACTGCCTGGAAAGAGCCTCTGGGTATGGCAGTGGGTCCTTTGTGGGCTGAGGACAAACCAGAGCCTTATATTGCTCCACTGAAATCAATGGGAATCTTCTCAATATCCCATCCAAATATACAGAGCAGATCTAGTCCTGTTTATCCTTTAAAGCTAGGTAACCACAACACCCATTCAGATGAGGGGAGTCTTGCTCTTGCTAGTTCTTTAATTACAACTTCTTTTTTGACTCCCATAATCTATTCATCCCTGAACACAACTCTACATCTGTGATATCAGACTCTTGCAGTAACATATACTAAAGATTAATTTATATCCCATTATGTCACTCTGATTTTTAAATGACTTTAATATTGTTCTGATCCATTTTTGTCTCACTGAATCCATATCAAATTTGCTCAATTTCCAAATAAAAGAGGAGACGCCTTGAAAAAGAAACTGTAATATAAAATACTTTTATGTTTGTTATAATAAAAATTAAATTACCCTAGAAAATAATGTACAAATATACATATATATATATTTCAATAATAAAATAAAAATAACATTTAAAATAATAAAATAGAGAAGTAAAATAAATTAAAAATAAAATAGTAACCTAAAATGAATAAAATTGTCAACACTGATATGTTTTATTTAGAAAAATTTGAAATGTTTCATTTCAAACTTTTCAAAATGGATATTTTTGGGGGGAGGAGCGAGAGGAATTTGCATTTTGCAGGAAATTTAGAGTTCTGTCATTCTAAATTACTGATGTTCTTATCTTGCTCTTCAGAGTCTTCTCTTCCACTAACCACTTTTATAATAAATAGTGTAATGGAGGCATGATTTGTCATTTCAGAGACTTCATGGTCAGCTACCTCTTAGCCGGGAGGAGCTGGAGAAAGTTTTTGATACTCTGGATGCAGATGGAAACGGTTCACTTACGCCAGAGGAGTTCACGACAGGATTAAGTGAGTTTTGGAATGCAAATCTGTGTATACCTCCATCCATGTTCAGTACTTCATAGACAGGTAAGGAGACATGGTTCCTTAAGGAACCTGAAGTGTAGTCCTGATGCGTGCAGTGAATCCTGCACAAAAGGCCACTACCCATGCTACTCCAGCTACACAACTATTTTTAGTGCTCTAGTTCAATGACAGCTAGTGTGAGTATGTCTACGTGAGCTGGAAATCACACCCCCAGCTCTGAGTGTAGACACAGCCTGGGAGAGACTGCTAATAAATGTCACTGTTTCCTTTAATGACTTCTAATTACTCTATAAACAGATTTTTAAAAAGATGTACATCTTTAAATTTTAGGTCAGTTTTTGTTTGGGCAGATGGCCTCTATGAATGAAATGCACGAGTCTGACAATGAAAATGTCTATCAGTCTAAGTGGGAAGAGAGCTATGCTAAAGCTGATGATGATGAAGACGAGGACCGGCAGTTCTCAGATCTGATGGACCGGCTTGGAACAAACAAGATCTTAGAAGAGTAAGTCATACCAGCTGCAATATCAACAATGTACAATTCATGATCTTTTATGATTTAGCTCTACATTTGCAAGAAAACCCTGGGCTTGATTCTCCTCTCATTTACACCCACTGTGCACTGGTGTGTCACCATTGACTTCAGTGGAGATGCTTTTGACTAACTGCAGTGAGAGATCAGAACTAGGGCCCCTTGTGATGTAGCGATCTCATATCCATTTCCTTGGTTGCTGCGAGTGATGAAATAAAAAAACCCCTGAGCGCCACACATTTGTGCCCCACGAGGATAACACAGTTAAACTCTCATAGTCACATGCATTTGAGAGCAACACAAATGAAGCACTAATGTGGCACATGTTCTGAAAATATGTATGGTAATATTGATATGCTATCTGTGTATCCAAAAATGACATTATTTGCAAATAAAGAATCCTTAGAGAGCATTCCTTTGGCAAAGACTATGCTTACATTGCCTTTGTATCAATTAAGAATAACAAAAATCACTAGTTCTCTTTCACAACGGTGTAGTTATTAATGATTAATCATTAATAATTTACATTGCGGTAGCACCTACGAGCTCCAGTGAGGGACCAGGACTCCAGTGCGCTAGGTGTTGTACAAACACAGAACAAAGGGGCTTTCAATCTATGTTTGTGTGACATTTGTCAATGAAATAAAATTACTGCTGTAAAATACCAAGTTGTCAGAATGCTAAATGCTGTGATTTTTTTTTCTTTTTACATCTAATATCATGTAAATCTGATCTCTCCAAACTATTTTGAATTAATATGTTTGTTTTTCCTCCACTGAAGCTTACCAGGCATTATCCAGTAAACACCAGATACATACTGTACAGTAAGACTATTTCAGGAACATGCTAATTGTTAAAATAGCCATCAGGTCTTACATGTTCCTGTGGGGCATTTCAAACACAAACTGTGAGTTTAGTGATTCTCTGAAAGCTCCCATCTGTGGGGGAGACAAGATGTAAAGAAATTGTGCAGAGGACAAGAAAACGGATCTTAGCTTTGACTCGTTTATTCACTGAAAGACAAGTTCAGTCTGAGCTTACACCAATAGGCTGTGCCTTACTTTCATTTTTTAAGAGTTAGAATAATTGTGAAGTGTTTTGTGTTTCATGCTGCCTGGTTCTGTGCTGCATATAATTGAGACAAGGTCATCTACAACATATATTTATAAGCTAATGGAATGATGTGCAGAAAATTGACTGAAAAAATATGCTGGACATGCAAGAGCCTCCTTAGTTGTGATCAGTGAGCAGCGTGGTGTGTGGGCCAAAGTCCACTAACGTCAGTAATGGGAGTTCAGTGGGCTTTGGCTCAGTCCCTAGGTACTTGATTCTAAGGCAGAGTTCAGAATATTAATTTACAATGTGGTTGTCTCTGCTCCTCCAGGGCCTTGATCCTTTCCTGGTGTGCAGAAGTGGTAAACAAGCTTATATTCTAGTTCAAGTGGGAATGGAGGCTATGCAAGTGCACATGTATGGTTGAGCACTATGTGTAATTAGTTACATTACAGTGAAGAGCAACAAAAGCACTCTGCATGCTCATGGTCTGATTTGCATGAGCACAGGAGAAAAGAGACAGGGTGTGGGTGGAGAATGGACAAGTCTCACAGGATGTGGCCTTAAGTGATCCTCTTCATACTACAGAGGTTCTTAGCTATCCTCTCTAAATGCTACTCCCTGTCATAGGCAGGAGTAGGTTGGCAGCTGTCAGGGCTTTCATTACTGCGGGATCAGATTCCCCTGCTTTTCCTGTCATTCTCATCACTTTTTACCTTGAATTTATACAAGCAACACTCCACACCTGCACTGTCCAGGATGGAGCCTTTAATGTGCATGCAAAATAGAGCAGGTCAGAAAAACAGAATAAGAAATTCACAGGAATTCTGGCAAATCTGAAAGTGTCTTCTATCCTGTTGTGATTTGCAATGATCCAGTGTTTCATTTTTGGCAAAATTGTTTTTAAATAAAACATGTGTTGGTTTTGAAATGGGAGATTTCTGAAAATGAAATGCTTCAATTTTGAAACAGTCCCACCCTGGAACTAAGCTGATCAAACATAATTGGTGAAGCAGAAGACCAAGGTTAAAATTTTCAAGTGCCTAAATGACTTAGGAGCCCAAGTTGGCACTTCGGAGCTTACGTCTCATTGACTTTCAATGAAAAAGGCTTCAAATGAGTTTTCCCCCTGTCCAACTCCCATTGGAAGCAGTGGGAGTCTCTCCACTGATTGCGATCAGAGCTGGATCAGGTCCTGCATCAGGAGTAATAAAACATATCTCTTCTCTAGCCTAATGATAAATCTTCTGCAACCACTAATTAGATATAGTTTCTGTGGTGTCCATTACAAAAGGAAGCTCTGACCCTTCCTTGTGTAAACAGTCTAAGAGGTTTTATCTCACAGTCTAGGGATTCCAATGATGCTCTGAATGACGCATGCATTTAGAGAAGACCTAATAACTAAGATTAGGAACAAGGAGGGTCAGAAGATATAGGAGCCAGCGCTTGTAACACAGTTAACATTTGTAGCTATGAAAGGTAAGATAATAGGGATGACCGAGGATGGTCCCCTGGGACACAAGCCTGGAACTTGGGATTCCTTGCTCTGCCACAGACATCCTGTGTGACCTGGGCAAATCCCTTCGGGCTAGAGTCACAAAAGGACATAGGTGCCTAACTACCATTTTAGGCACCTGCATCCCAGAATCAGGCCCCACTGGGATTCACAAAACCCCTGCTCAGCTGCCCCAAACACTGTAGGCACCTAAACTCACTCACTCCATACGTTTTTCAGTAAAAGTTTCATCTGTGCCTGTGTTCCTGCCCCTGCACATGCACACTGCAGCCGCACACCAGGTGTCTGGATCCCTACGCCCCAGCGTGATGCATGAACAGGGGGAAGATAGGTGTTCCTCTGTCTAACTTGCCTGTGCGACCCGATCTGGTAAGTGCACTCAGACCTTGCCTACCGGAATGGGCCCCTATAGGTGGGCTTACACAAAATGGCTGGAATAGGGGGGCAGGTGGGGGAGGTCCTCCCTCGTGACTTTTAGCCCAGTGGTTAGCGTACTCAACTGGGATGTGGGAGAATACGGGTTCAAGTCCCCCCTCCACCTGAAGGAGGAGGGATTTGCACTAGAATCTGCTACTTCTCAGGTCACATGAGTGTCGTAACCACTGACTGTAGGGTATTCTGATGTGGACCTTGCTCAGTCTCTCCAGATGAAGTTGTTCCACTGTATATAAACAATTTAAAAGTGTCACTGAAGCAGGGGCACTGGATCTTCCACCTCTCAGGTGAATGCTCTAACCACTGGGCTACCGATTCATTCTCATGCCTGCTCGCGCTCTCTCTTCTGGGCCAATGAGTCTGATCATTTATCCACAGTGGAGCAGCTTCAACAGGAGAGCCCAAGGGAGAACTCATAGCCTAATGGTTGGAGCACTCATCTGAGAAGTGGCAGGTCTCTCTTCAGATCCATTCTCCTCCTCAGATAGCGGGGAATCAGCTGCAAATTTTGCCATCTCACTGTTTACCCTGTTTTCCAAGATCATTTATGAATATGTTGAACAGTACTGGTCCCAGTACAGACCTCTGGGACGGACACCACTATTTACCTCCCTCCATTCTGAAAACTGCCCATTTATTCCTACCCTTTGTTTCCTATCTTTTAATCAGTTATTGATCCATGAGAGGACCTTCCCTCTTATCTCATGAGAGCTTACTTTGCTTAAGAGCCTTTGGTGAGGGACCTTGTCAAAGGCTTTCTGAAAATCTAAGTACACTATATCCACTGGATCCCCCTTGTCCACATGCTTGTTGACCCCCTCAAAGAATTCTAGTAGAAAACAAAGAATATGTTGACTCTTCCCCAACAAATTATGTTGATCTATGTGTCTGACAATTTTGTTCTTTACTATAATTTCAACCAGTTTGCCCAGTACTGAAGTCAGGCTTACCAGCCTGTAATTGCCGGGATCACCTCTGGAGCCCTTTTTAAAAATTGGCATCCATACATTAGCTATCCTCCAGTCATCTGATAAAGAAGCTGATTTAAATGATAAGTTACAAGCCACAGTTAGTAGTTCTGCAATTTCACATTTGAGTTCCTTCAGAACTCTTGGGTGAATACCATCTAGTCCCAGTGACTTATTACTGTTTAGTTTATCAATTTGATAAGCAGGGCTTAGCTAAGAAGGGCTTAGCACACACCCCTCAGCTTGCCGTCTGCCATTAGCTATTTTAGGCTAGGAGCCACCAACCATGCATTAGTAGGAGCATTGCCAGCAGATCGAGGGAAGTGATTATTCCCCTCTATTTGGCAATTGTGAGGTCACATCTGGAATATTGCATCCAGTTTGGGACCCACCCCCCCACTACAGAAAGGATGTGGACAAATTGGAGAGAGTCCAGCAGAGGGCAATGAAAATGATTAGGGGGCTGGGGCACATGACTTACGAGGAGAGGCTGAGGGAACTGGGGTTATTTAGTCTGCAGAAGAGAAGAGTGAGGGGGGATTTGATAGCAGCCTTCAACTACCCAAAGGGGGGTTCCAATGAGGATGGAGCTCGGCTGTTTTCAGTGGTGGCAGATGACAGAACAAGGAGCAATGGTCTCAAGTTGAAGTGGAGAAGGTCTAGGTTGGATATTAGGAAACACTATTTCACTAGGAGGGTGGTGAAGGACTGGAATGGGTTACCTAGGGAGGTGGTGGAATCTCCATCTTTAGAGGTTTTTAAGGCCTGGCTTGACAAAGCCCTGGCTGGGGTGATTTGGTTGGGGTTGGTCCTGCTTTGAGCAGGGGGTTGGACTAGATGACCTCCTGAGGTCTCTTCCAACTCTAATCGTCTATGATTCTATGCTGACTTCTGTGAATCCCATTCTGAGGTGTCTATCTCTCCCCATTCATTGTATAGGGAGCCAAGGCACCTAACTGAGGCTTTGTGAATCTCAGTGATTTTCTCGGCACCTAGACGTT